ACTTTTGACCTTTTGGTTTCTCCATGTTGGTCTATGTTTAGCAGAGGTCCCCAAAACTTTCTTTGAGGTGCCAACAGGTGAACCCAGAAAAGCAAGGTTCATCTTTTGGTCCCTTTTGATCTGTGTTGGTCCCTTTTGGTCCGTGTTGGTCCCTTTTGGCCCCCTTTGGTCCATTTTCTGGGTCCAAACTTCGGCAACGGCAACTGAGTGGCCCAAAGCCGAGGCTTGGAGCTGCATCTGGGCAATGTGGATCTGCGCCTCAGGGGCATGGAGGCGCGCCTCGCCACGGCCAACCAGGCCGGAAATTTCGGGGACTTCAGCGCCTCATTCGGATCGATGGATCGAGGGGTTTCCCGGGTGGGGGGGGGGGGTTTGGGGGGTGGTTCGGGGAAGGGGTTGGGGGGGGGCGGTGCGTGGTGCTCTGAACCCGCGAAAAGAGCGTTTCGGATGCGGGAACAAAAGGGTCAGAGGGAAAGGCCGGACACCATGCTTTGGGGACCAGTGGGACAGCCACTACTCTGACGCAAGGAGGATTTTTGGTTGATTTTGATTCATTCTGCGCTGCCAAGTCGGATCCTCTTACGCGCTTTTGGGGATCCGGATCATTCCGGATCACTGGGAATCACCCCCTATTACTCCGCCAAGTCGATTCATCCGGTGTCAGAAGTGGGCTCTTTGTTTAAGCCCTTCAACATCCATTCCATGTCCCATTGCTGGTTTTGACATCACTGTTCGTGCTTTTTTTCTTGAAACAAACTATACCCACCACGGGCACCAGCCCCTCTTTGAGTCTGATCTCGTTTTGGCGGCTCTGAAAGGCTCTGAGCTCGCTGGTGCCTCCAGTCCTCGAGTGAGCAAACACGCCGGGTTCCAAGGGCCGGAGGAATGATTCGTGGAGCGAAGAGTTTCTTCCATTTGCTGAAAAGAATATTATTATTATTATTAATATTATTATTAGTAGCATTATTATTAGTAGTATTATTATTTGTTATTTTTCCCTGTTGGTTTTAAAGTGAATCTATCACCGAATCACTACTGGATTTTGTTTATTTGTTAGAGGGGTCTGAACCAAATGGAAGGCTTGGCGGCTCGCAGTCATACTGTGGATGGTTGTGAGTCATCCATGTCATACCAAAGAAACCCTCGAATGATGATTTGTCTGTAAATACCGATAAACAATGGTTTCCGAAGGTTTCAAACCGGCGCAGGATTTCGTCCATCCACAGTAGGGCGAGTAGGGTTTCCGCAGACTTTAAGCGAGTTTAGAGTTGGATCTATCATATCCCACAAGCTGAGGTCACTTTTTGGGACTCTGTTGATTACTCCTTGCCATAGGTTTTGGGATAGACTTTGAGTATTGGATTGCTTTGACGTATGGATTCTGGTTTTGCGAGTGTTGCAAATTATTGCTTGGGTTGAAGGGAAACCAAGTGGACCCGGCAGCTTTTCTGCTCGGTGTGGGCTCCCAATTTTGAGACGGGATCAAAAGAGCCTTTGGAACGACCTGTGGCAATAGGGCAGTAGGGCAATGGCCGGAGAAGGAGGGACATGGGAATAGGATCCACTCGGCATTTGTTCGAGTTATTTGTTTGCCAGGGTCCCTTTCTCTGATACCAACGTGGGAACTCCCCGTTCATTATGCCCTTTGAGTTTTAGCTTCAGAGGGAATTTCATGGCCACGATCCGTCCTGGACTCCTGCCCGCTGCGGGCAGACAACACATTTCTGGCAACCCTTCGGCATTTTTCTGCCTGCCTCGCCAACTTGAGGCTAATGGCGCTGGAGTCGCTCAGCGGCAACACCCGCCTGCAGTCCGATGGGCGCTGTGGACCGTTTCAGTTTCGGCCAAGTCTCACGCGACGGCACGCCCCTCCGGCGTCATTTCAAGGCACACGCCAGCAAATGGCTAAACATATCATGATCTGTTGTGTGAGTTGCGTGTTTTGTTTAATCCCAATGAGCAGTCAACAGGATCTTACTAGGGGCTGTGGAGCATTTTGACGATGGCCTCCCTGCAATCTGTAGCATATGCCGGGGCGACAACCAGCGTCACAGAGGTTGATGTTCCACCCGGCCATAATTCACAACAATTAGGTAAATCATAGAGGTTTCTAACTGTTCTACAACTTCTGAACTTTTCGTGACCGCCTCGCATGGTGTGAAGCACTTTCAACTTTCAACCGGGTGAAGGCTGTTCCATTTCTTTAGGAATCAACCCTACTGGGTGTTGACTTACCCGAGTTGGTACACTTTGGACTTGTTGCTTATAACATGTCTTCCTTAGCCAGTGGATCTCACAACAGTAGATAACCCTTCGCCAGCATTTTGTTTGTTTCAGGGAGGTTGCTTTGGTCACCTCTGCATAGAAATGGACGTACTGGGTTAGTTAGTTGTGTAAAGGCCCAACAAGTGTAACTTTAAGGCCAGACTGAGCAGGTGTGACGGGTTGCCAAAGTGCCATCCCGGCCCATTCGGTGCCTGAAGCACAGGCAAGCCGAAGCAAAAAGGGGGCGCTTCTTCTTGTAATGGGAGTTCCCAATTCCGGTTTCTCCAAAAAGGGCAGGTGGAGATTGCAAGAAGCTCTGAAGTTGCATCTGGGTTTGATGGCTGGAACCAAATGGCACCTGAGAACCACCAAGCTTCTCGGGAAAGCGGATTGTCGCAAGAACGATGATTGGGAAAATTGGAGAATCCAGCGCAAGATTTCTTGGGCAACACGAATCAACCGGCACCGATTCCCTGAGCTCCCCTCGAGTCGCTCTTTCGATTTTCGCGGTCTGCACATCACCCGTCATCTGCTTTGTTTCAGCTGGAACCAAAATGGGTGCGTCTTTTTCGAGGGTACCCCTTGTGGGGTTGTTCTCAAGGCAAACCAAAAGGAACAGCACTTTTGGGAAGTCCGATTGCTTAAAACACGACACACCCAAATAGTTGACGCTGATAAGCATCGCGGTTTGTCCAAAGGATTTGATTTTGAGGCTGCCTTTGGAACAGCGGACCCAGACTGCGCGGGAACTGGAGCCTGGCACTTTTTGGAGTTTCAGTCCATTTTCTGGGCGCGGGGGGGGAAGCTGGGGTCTCCTCCGAAACTATTTTTATTGCCCGGTGGTTCCATTTACCTAACCAGGGAACCACTATTTTTAAGTTACTCACTTCGTGGATATGAACATCACCTAAAGATGCGAAGAGCGCGGGACGAACGCTTTGAGCGATGGGAGCCAGCGCAGGCCGCGAGGGCCAACGCCATCTCCCGAGGCGGGAGATCCCCGCGCGGGAGTGCGGGGTGCGGGGTGCGGGAGTGAGGCGGGAGGTTGCTGGTGGAAGGCTTGCCAATTTCTCGAATTCGGCCAAAGAAGAAGCCAAAACTGAGCCATCCACAAGTTTGGTGGGCGCGTGTTCGCTGCTTGGGATTTGCAGATGCATCAAGCTTCCAACTGAGGGCATGGGCATGGGCTGTGCACCTCTCCGGTCTTGGCTTGGACAGTCTGGCGACCTGTTTCGGGGGTCCGCGCATTTCGGGTGCAACCCTAGCCAATCGAGCCTTGAAAGGCCTTCGGAATCGATCCCTCAGCGCAGGTGGGTCAGCCGTAAAGGCTATGACCAGCGCGGTGGTCCAAGCCAGAGAAGATGCAGAGGACTCGACTCCGGAACTTTCGGTGAAGAATAGAGCTCGCGGTATGCGAAGCAAGGCCCATGGGCTGATGTGCTTGTTTGGACTTTGGAAACAATGTCCCTCAGAAACATGAAAGTGCACTCTGGGTCTGTTTGTTGTTAGGGTACTTTTTTGGTCTGCTTTCAAGGAAACCAAAGGAACAAATTTGATCTGTCCCCTAGAAAACCCACCTGGGCCTTTGGAAGACTTTCGTGAAAAGGGTTCCGTTCCAGCAGGCACCGGACCAACATACCGGGGAGCCGGCAAATGTCGCTTCTAGTCGTTTTGTTGGTTTTTTTCTTTGCGGCGTCGCGCTTGTCTTTTTTGTTGTTTCGTTGGTATGTATGTTGTTTGTTTGCGTTTTGGGGGAGTGAAGACCCTTTCAACTTTAGGGTCCAACTAGATTTCAAAGGGGTTGCCATCTTTGCGCCGAAGCCTGTTTCTTTCACATCGGACAGTCACCAGAGAAGCGCGAAACGTCAATTTCTATCCTCTCAACCTCACCTCAGCAACATCTAACCTTTCCTTTGGCATGGTAAGAGGGTACCCTAGCAACCATTTGCACAAAGAATGTCATGAGCAATTCCCCCCTTGTCCAAGGCCGTCAGGTATTTGTCCCAGCTCTTTCCGCTTAGCCACGGCCAATACAGGGCTCCAGAGTTGTTTAGAGTGCCAGGCTAGGACTTTCTGGGGTTCTGGAAGGGTGCAAAGAGTCCTGGTTGGGCATGGGCTTATTTCTCCAGGACCGACTCAAACAAATCAAAGACCCAGTCTGACAGTCTTTCGGTCAAGTCATTTGGCTTAACTTGATGCGAAGCCGTGAGCCAAAGTCAAGTAATTAGATTTGAAAGTCCCCCCACAACCCATTTCAATGATTGCCTTCTTTAACTGGAATCTTAGAAGATACATGTAAGACTTCCAAGGGCCAAATGTGGGGCTCAAAATACATTTCTTTCGGCATACCCCGGATTTGGGCCAACGGAGGGATCGGACACCTCAAAGTCGGAGGTGCCCAGTACGGTTTCTTGGACGTTTTGCTTAGAGCTTGGAGGTGGATCTACGCGTTAAGCAAGGGATCAACGAACCGTCCAGAACAGCAAGCCCACGTTGTTTGTCTGTCTCTTTTTCAGGCGACCCCCCCGAAAAGAAGAAGAAGAAGAAGAGACTGCTGTTTCTTTAGGCTTCCCTTGAAATCCACCTCAAGAAGGGGTACTCCAAAACGACTCGCTTGCCCAAATCCGACGTGTTGACCTCTTGGTTTTGCCACTTTTGGCAACCATTTTTGATACAGGTGCCAAAAGGTGACCGATCACCTTTTATTTCTGGGTCCCTCAGGGGCAACGGAGATCCCCCCCTCCGAAAAAGAATCTGGGGGTTTATTGGGTCTTTGCCTTGTATTTCTCGGTCCCGGGGCAAAGGAGAAGAACACAGACCCACAGTGGCCAGGACCTCGACAGCTTCCTGGCCGGGGGCCGCAAGATGGCGGTTCAGGCGGCCAAGGCGGACTCCAGTGAATCCGTGCCTTTTCTTGTTGTTTTCCCGCTGGGAGTCCTGTGTTTTGGTCGTTGTTTTTTCTTCTTCCCCCCCCGGTTGGGATTCGTGTGTTTTGTCGTCGTTTTCTTTTTTTCTCCCCTTTTCCGTTTGGAGTCCTGTTTTTTGTAGTCATTTGCGTGTTTTTGTTCGTGTCGATTCGGGATTCGTGTCGTGCACACCACCCAGTTGTTTTTAGGGAAACCCTGAAGGAGGTTGTTCAAGCAGTGATTTGTAGGGGTTGGCCCAACCCTGGGGATTGACCAAAGTTGGAGCATCCAACAGGAACAGGGCAAAAAGTAGTTGTGTAGTATAAAGGGCAAAGTAGAGGACACGGGTCTTCTATGATCATGACTGGGTTTCGTTTTGTACCGAGCGAGTCGGGTTGGCATTTGTTTTGCCCAGCTGAAATCTGCCTGAACAAGACGGGTTGGAGCAGCTCCGCGGCAGGGTTCCACAGGGTTGCGGGGCTGTTGGGAATACCACCTTGGCTGATCCCTGACATTCTTTCTTTGGCATCAGCTGAGAGCTGCCCCAGCGTTCGTCAGGTCATGGAGGACAAGAAGAAGGACAAGAAGAAGCTTGTCATCGAGCAGGCGCTGCATAGAACTTGTGGCAAATTGAGCTCCCAGAACCCCCAAAAGGTCAATTTTTAGTAGGTGCTGGTTCTACCAGGTGGGTTTATGGTGATTATAGTAAGGCCTAATTACATGATGCCATTACAACCACGACGGTAGAACCAAAAGCCAACGGGAATTGGGGATTGCCCTTAAAACCGCCAGAGTAGGTTCTTTGCTTGGGGATCCCTATTCCTTGCTTTGGCATGATCATAGGTAACATTTGCGTAACATACATAGAAGCATTAGTACTAAAAAGTAGCCAGAATGGGATGGGCAATGTTGAACATGTTTCCAGACCCCCAAGCCCTGCCTGAGTGACAAGGATCGGGCGAGCAAGCTTTTGTCGTTTACCAGCGTAATAAAGGGGTGGATCCTAAAGGTTTTTGGTTGGCCTTAGCCTTTTGATGGTCATCCGGCAGTGTCATCCGTTGAAGCAACCAAACAACACGTGTCTTTGGGCTTCCCTGGCTCCTATCTGCTTGTAGGAGATAAGAATTGCTTTTGACCTTTCTGGGACAACGACGCTGGGTTGACGTCACCCATAGGGATCGCTGTCTAGAGAATATGCCAGATGTCCAAGAATCGCACTGCGCACCACATACTAAAAACAAAAACAAACAACACATCTTTCTTGGATGCTTTCCGGCAAGCATGGGCGCGGGGGGGGCTGGGGGGTGGAAACCTGAGGGGATTTCATGATGATTCATCTTTGAGTGCATGTTTAACTTTTAACCCTCACTCTTTGGGGGCCATGGTTGCGGGAAACAAGGTTTTCGAACTGGCGTATCTCCGTGACACCAAGGCAGCCCCCTTAAAAGTGATAGAGTAGCCAGGGGAATGGCCCTCCGTACCACAGATTGCCGGTCAATTCTGCACCATGGCCGATTTGTTGGAGCTCGCCCGAGATTTCTCGCTCGCTGTCAGGCGAGCCAGGAGAACTTGCAGAAATCTGTCCGCCGCCCAGGGGACCAGATTTCAAGGGACTGCCTTCTCAAACTTACACTGCAAAAGAGTCGTTTCAACATGGCTGGAGACCCGTCGGGGAAAGTCGCCGTTTCGCCTTTGTGGGTTGTCGAAAAAGAGCAGAAGAGTGAGAAGTGCATGAAGACAGACACAAACAGGTGACGTTTAACGGAACAAGCAGACTTTCACTAAACTGCATGAACAGTACGTACACTTTGGAGGATCCAGGATGGCAAAAAATGGTCCCCCAGTAGTGCCCTTTTACCCTTTTTTTGGGGGAGGGTTCCCCTACTAAAATAGACAAAACCGAGAAACAAATAGGAAACAAATGGAAAACACACATCGGGTACCCTTATTCGAGCCTCTCTACTGCAAAAACCTAGGCAAATGGTCCAGAGAAAGCTGGGACTCGGAGGGCCCAAGGTCCAACGACTCCATCCGAGTCTTGTCGGCCAGGCGGACGCTGCCAGGGAAGTTGAAGCTGCGCGGGAAGCCGAGCGGGAGCGAGAAGAGGCCGGATAGGAACCTGCGAGGGCCAAGGCCAATCCTGCGCTTTCGAGTAAGTTGAATCCTCTACCTGGAGTCACCCTGACTAGAAAAATAGGGTCCTTACCCCAAAATAAAGGGGCTATGACCCAATTTTTTAAAAGGGTCATGGAGACTCCAGGTCGTCTTTTAACTTGACTGTTTGCCAGGTCAGTTGTTCGCGTGTTCGCTTACCCTCCTAGTCCCCTCC